GTGTTGGAGAAGACTCTTGAGAGTCCCTTGGACTGCAAGGAGATCCAACCAGTCCATCCTAAAGGAGATCAATCCTGGGTGTTCATTGGAAGCACTGATGCTGAAGCTGAAACTCTAATACTTTGGCCACCTCATGTGAAGAGTTGACTCATTGGAAAAGACCCTGATGCTGGGAGGGATTGGGGGCAGGAGGAGAAGGGGAGAACAGAGGATGAGATGGCTGGATGGCATCACCGACTCGATGGACATGAGTTTAAACCCCAGGAGTTGGTGATGGACAGGGAGGCCTGGTGTGCTGCGGTTCATGGGCTCGCAAAGAGTTGGACACGACTGAGCGACTGAACTGACTGACTGAAACAGGGGCTTCCCAGGTGGCTCAGTGGTAAGGAATCCGCCTGCCAATGCAGAAGACTTTGGTTGGATTTCTGGGTCGGGAAGATCCCTGGAGAAGGAAATAGCAACCCACTGCGGCAAATCTGCCTGGTAAATCCCATGGACAGAAGAGCCCGGCGGACTGTAGTCAATGGGGTAGCAAATCGTCTGACAGGACTGAAGAACTGGGGACGGAGACACGCAAACAGTGGTTTATACTCTGGGACAGTTTCAGCAGCTACTAAACACTAACAAGCCCTATGGCCCAAATCGGGTAGCATCCTGTGCTGTGGTTTGGGCCACTAGGACTTGAGACATGTAGGAACAGAACAGGTCACCTGAGGTATTATTGGGTAGCAATTTCGGTACACTAAACTCTTGCGTGTGCTTCCCTTGTAGCTCACTCAGTAAACAGTCCGGCCGCAACGCAGGAGACTTGGTTCCATCCCTGGGTTGGGAAGATCCCCTGGAGAAGGAAATGGCAACCCACTTCAGTATTCTTGCCTGAAGAATCCCATGGATAGAAAAGCCTGGCAGGCTACAGTCTATGTGGTCGCAAGAGTCGGACACGACTGAGTGACTAGGCGCAGTGCAAACTCTTGCGTAATAAACTTAAAGTGAAAACAGAGTACCCAAGTCTCACACCGTATACATATTGTTAAAAAACATGAAAGAAAAACGATGTTAAACAAAATATAAACAAAATAAGTGAAAACTTCTCCGGAAACCACAACTCAATCCCTGTATTTTATTGACAGGGCTCGGGTGTTTGAATCTACCGTCCAGGCCAAGTGAAAAGTTTCTCTTCCACTCCCAAACATCGCTAAGGGGGAAAACTGCCATAATGTATGTATACATTCAAATCAAGACGAAAGAAACTCTCCTCGAGCCAGCGAGCGTCTTAACAGAGACTAACCCTTCGCGGCCTCCTCTAGCAACTCTAGCCCGCAAACGGACAGACTGCGCTCGCTGTGGCTAGGCAACCGTCCGAGCCCGCCCTGCCGTCTTAGCCCCGCCTCTCAAGACGCTTCCACCACCCTGCGCCTCGAGTCTTCTCCTCTCATTGGCCAGCTACAGGCCAGGGGTGGGCGGGGGAAATGCGTCAGAAAGTGGGCTCACTTCCGGCCTGGGAGCGCGCGGGTTGATTCGTCCTCCCTCAGCCGCGGGTGCTTGCAGCTCGGAAATGGCGGGTAAGTTCCCGGGAAAAGTTTACCAAGGGGAGGGGGCGGGCAGGTTTGGGAAAGAACACCGAGACGGAGGTGACAGTACCCGCCTGGAACTTTCGAGCTCTTGCCTGGGTTCTAGAAGGCCTGTTTCAGCCTGGGAGCGCGGAACTCTCAGCCCAGCTCTTGTTCCGCCGAGATTCGTGCCCCCGCCCCCAACTGCTCGGGGTTCTGCACCTTCTGCGGGCAACTCGGCCCCTGAGAGGGACCAAGAGCCCAGGAAAAAGTGTGGTGATTTGGTCTTGTAAGGTGCTAGGTGCCTGGACGTCTGTTTCTCTTCTCTTTCTCTTTGCCCACTGCTGCCCCAGTCTCTAGTCTGAGCCTGTTCGCGCCAGCTGATTTTAATGCTCAGACCCTCCTCTTCCAGGTCTTCCCTCCACCCTATACTTCAACTTCTGAGCTAGCGCTATGCTGCCTTGCCCTGCGCCAAGGCTCTCCTTTGAGTCTTGTTTGACTTCGTAGTAGTCCCCTTAATCTCTCACACTTCAGTAGTCCTAGGATCTATGTAGATTTCCTTTGAGAAAGAGGGACTAAACTTCTCTTTTAGAGGATGTCTAATATAATTCTGTGTTTATTCTATTCTGCTTTCTTTATTTAATCTCTTAAATTTACAGCGTTTAATAACTAATAATTGCCATTATTTTGTACGTGTATTAAGATTGTTTTGGTGTGGTAGATGCCTCCCCGCCTCCCCGGGTGCATATATTTTGAAGTGATGGACAGTTTCTTTTTATCTTTTCCCAGTGCCTTCCTAGTAATCTCAGTAGACTTTTATGGATGTGCTGGATAGACAGAGTATAGCATGAGCTCTTCAGATGTTTAATGAAGACCTCTTCTACCAGATAGAGATTGTAGGATTTTGGGGTCCATTGGTACTGTCTTAAGAGGGGGGACCCGTGTATTGCACAGGGTGAACTGTTATAAGAATTCCCCCTAATTTCAAGTCTCAGTCCCACCATTTAGTAATCAAGTGACCTTTAAGCAGCCAAACTTCTTTCTAAGCCTGAGCTTTTGAATATGAAAGGGGGCTGATAAAGTATCTACTTGTAGAATTGTGAGGGTTAAACTAATGTATGATTTGTTGCTTAGACTATACATAAATTCTTTGAGGTGGGTTCTGTTATCTCATTTTTATAGATAAGGTTTGAGGTGGGTTTTATTATACTCTTTTTATCCATTGGATCAGAGAAGCCAAGTAATGTGCTCTAGTTCATAGATGCAGTAAGCAAATGATGAAGCCTGGATTTGAATCCAGCAATTTTGACTCCAAACCGTTAATCTATACTGCTTCAAGTGTTCCCCATTTTCTGTGTACCTGTGTTGTAACCACTTACTGAAGTTTATGGCATGTCATTGTACCCTGTTTTTCATTTCTGCTCATGACTTTTTTACCTGAGTTTTCCCTAATTTTTATGATTATTTTGTCAGGAGATTCATTGCCATCTTTGCTTGAAAGTTTCTCTTGATAATGGTTTCTTCCATTGTTAATTACCATATACATTGATGGATAGCCACGTTGTAGTAAAACCATTTGATTATTCCAATAGCCTATGTCTGTGCACATGGTTAAAAAAGAAAATTTTCTTTCCTAATCGTGTCCTCATTCCTTCTGTTTTATACTAGAAATAGCAGTGTTTACTGGTTTCTTGTGTATCCTTTGTGAGATTATCTTTCTATGCATTATTAGTTGTTGGTTTTGAAATAGTTGATCTGAAAGTACTTTAGGTAGAGTTTTTCCAGTATTATGAATAAATTGCTATCTTGTAATTATTGAAGGACGTTCTCACCTGGATTCTTAGTGGAGCAGTAGCATCCTTTTTATATTTCTTTTTAAAAGTCTACTTAGGTATAAATCCTAGCAGGTAATTTATATTAATATTAAATATTTAGAAATGTCAGTCTGTTACGTTAATTATAAATTATATGTTTACTCATTTATGAAAAGCCAGTCTGGTTCACAAGCCTCTATGTCAAAAGTGATGTTTATTCTGTTTTATAACGAGACAGTCATATACTCAGTAGATTTATGTAGGAGTATTTGGAAATCTGTGATCTGTTATCATAGTTAAAGACTTACCTTTATTCCACTTCTAGTAAGAACCCTTTTTTTTTTAGGTTTGATTAATTAAATCACTTCTAACCAGTCTTTTAAAAATCCTTTTTCTTAGGATTTGGTGCTATGGAGAAATTTTTGGTTGAATACAAGAGTGCAGTTGAGAAGAAACTGGCTGAGTACAAATGTAACACCAACACAGCAATTGAACTAAAATTAGGTATGTATGCCTTTTCTAAGTACTGTTAGGAGTATGAAGTGGAATTTTGTGTAAGAGCAGTTGTTTATGGCATTTGTATGGCTTATTTTATTGTTTACTGCAATTTATGTTTAGTTTTCTATACTAATTGAGCACATCCAGATTTTATGAAGTCTTGATTTATGTCATGGAGTGGGTAGATGTTTGAGAGATGACAGAGTTTACATGTCAGAAGTTCAGTGTGGCAAAATAATGACAAGTAGAAATGGTCTTAACCTCTTAAAAACATTTACCTTTACCTTTTTGCTTATAAAAATAGAAAATAAGTGTTGGTGAGAATGTGGAAAGACACTCCTGGTGGGAACATAAAATGATGCAATTACTTTGGGAAACAGTTTGGCAGGATCTTAAAAAATAAACATATTTTCTATATGACTGAACAGTTCAACTCCTAGACATCTACCCAAGAGAATTTAAAATGTCCATACAAAAATTTGTATGTGAATGTTCACAGGAGTATTATTCACAATAGCCAAAGGAAATAACGTAGATACCAACCAGCTGGTAAATGGTTAAACAAAGTGTGGTATATCCATGTGATGGGATACTATTTGACATTAAAAAGGAATGAAGGGCTGATACATGCTACAACATAGGTGAACCTCAAAAACATTCTAAAGTGAAAGAAACCACACCTACTGTATAGTTCCATTTGTGTGAGTGTTCAGAAAAGGCAAATGCACAAAAATAGAAAGGTTAGTGGTTACCTGGGTCTGAGGGTATCAACAGAGAATGACTGCAAATTAGATTTCTTTTGGGTAATGGCAGTATTTTAAAATTAGATTGTGGTAGTGATACACAAGTCTAAATTTACTAAAAATTTTAAAGTTATACTCTTAAAACAATTGAGTTTATGGAATGTAAGTTTATAATTCAATAAGGCTGTTTAAAAAAAAATTATGTGCTAATGAGGTCTGGTTTCGTCACTTCCATTCCTTAGATTTTTCATCTTTAAAATGGAATTAATGTTACTTGTAGTGAATTAAATATGAGGTTAAATATAAGTAAAGTACTTGAAAAACTTGATTTAGACAGTCACAGTAAATGTTAGCTATAATTATTTAAAACAGTAGAGACATAACGAATACAGAGAAGGTGATAAAGAAAATGCTTATGTCCTGACACCTCACTAAAAAAGATATTACTGATCAATTTTTTTTTTCTTGTACATACATGGTTTCTTTAAAACCAGGATCCTGTTGTAAGGCTGTTTGGTTATTTATCTTAACAATATCTTGAATATCATTGTTTGTAACTATATAGATCTACCTCATTATTTTAAATTATGTAATTCAGGATGACTGTATCATAACTTACCCAAGTTATGCTACTTTTTTTAACTTATTCTCTATTGTGAGATTTGCTTCTCCTTTTTTGCTATTAAAAGTGATTCTCCAGTAAATACCCTTGTGTATGTATGTACCCACTTGTGTGAGTGATCCGTAGAATGTGTGGCTAGAAGTTGAAATACTGGATCAGAATTTTTGAGTTTCAACACTATTAACATTTTGGGTTAGATAATTCTTAGGAAATGGCAGCCCATCCCAGGTGGCACTAGTGGTAAAGAACCCATCTGCCAGTGCAGGAGACATTAGAGACACGGGTTCTATCCCTGGGCCTGGAAGACCCCCTAGGGGAGGAAGTGGCAGCTGGCTCCAGTATTCTTGCCTGGAGAATCCCATGGACAGGAGCCTTGTGGGCTGCAGTCCAAAGAGTTGGACATGACTGAAGTGACTTAGCAGCAGCCAGTATTTTTGCCTGGGAAATCCCATGGACACCCCAGGTTACAGTCCATGAGGTCACAAGAGTCAGAACAACTTAGCAACTAAACAACAAAAGAATTCTTTGTTATTTTGTGCTTTGTAGGATGTTTAGCAGCACTCTTGGGCTGACAACTAGATGCCAGTAACATTCTCCTCCAGTTGTGACAACCAAAAATGTCTCTGACATCGCCATACCTCCTAAGGATGGTGTGTAACATTGTCTCTGTTTAAGGACCGCTGTGCTAGATCAAAGGGCTACGGACATATTCTACTTTAGTAGCTGTCGTTAAATTGCCTTCCAGAAAAAGTACGTGTGCTTATACTGGTACAGTCTCACGTTTGAGATAGCCCTTTTACCTCTACTCTGGTCAGTGTTGCATATTATCATTTTTAAAAAAAGCAGAAACATCTTGCCCCTGTGATGTGTGAAAGGTAGCTTATTTCTGTGTGCAGTTGTGAGAAACACATAACTTAAAATTTACTATTTTTTAAAGTGTATAGTTCTGTAGTGTTTAGTGTACTCTCATTGTTGTGCAACTAGTCTCCAGAACTTTCTCATCTTGTAAAATTGAAACTATATCCATTACAGAAAGAACTCCTTGTTTTCTCCCTCTCACTGGCCCCTTGCTAATACCTTTCTACTGTTTTAAAATTTGACTGCTAAAAAAAAAAAAAATTTGACTGCTTTAGATACCTCATATAAATGCAGGCATACAGTATTTGTTGTCTTGCAACTGGCTTATTTTTTTTAGCATAATACCCTTAAGATTCATCCATGTTGTAGCACTTGGCAGAAATTCCTTCCTTTTAAGACATGATAATATTACATTATATATATGTATATATATTATATAATGTAAATATTATAATATTCTTATATTTATTTTATATATAGTATATGTAATAACTATAAAATTATTATAGTATTTATAATAAATGTCTATATTATATACATTACATTATCTATATATAGAGAGACATATATATACACACAACATTTTATTTATCCATTCATCCACTGATAGATACTTAAATTGCTTCCTCCTCTTGGCTATTTGAATAATGCTGCTGTGAATAGGGATGTGCAAATATTTTTTTCTCTTTAAAAAAAAAAATCCAGTTTCAAGTTCTTTTAGATATGTATCCAGAAGTGGGATTGCTGGATCATATAGTAATTATATTTTTTAATTCTTTGGGGAAACCCCATAATTTCCGTAGTGGTTATTACAACTCCATTTTATATACCCACCAACAGTGCACAAAAGTTGCAGTTTCTCCACATCCTTGCCAACACTTACTGTTTAGTGAGGTTTTTCTTTTTCACTGTGTTTTTGACTATTTTTTGATTTGATAATTAAAATTGATTTTTAATTCTAAGAAAAGTATATCCTTTATATTTAAAAGAACCAGCCCTCCTTTTGTCATATTTTGTAAATACTTTGACCCCTGTTTTGACTTTTGTTATGTAGAAGTTAAAACTTTTTATCTAGGGAAATTTCTTTTTCTTTTATGAGTTTTCATTATGTCTTATAAGAAGGGCCTTCCTGCTCTAAGATTATGAAAAGATTTATTGATTGTTTATTTTAATAATTAAAAAATTTTTTTCTTTTTCATTGAACCTTTGAATCTTTATCTTGATAAGGCATAGAGTAGGAATCCAGCTTTATACTTTTCCAGATGGTTTAGGCAGTTATCTGCCTGCCAGTTTGTTGTCTCTTAAACAATTAAAATTTCTTTTTTTAATCACACTAAAGTATCATATATATTCTTGGGTGTACTTTGAGGCCTTTTGTTCCCCCTGAGCCATTAGTGTACTGTTACAATAAATACGATTAGTATATGGTGTGACTAGATCCTACTCATTACTCTTCAACTTTATCTAATGTTTATTCTTCTAATGAACATTTTATTTTACTAAGTTCCAAAGAGATGTTTTGTTAATTTTTTAAAATTGAGATCCTATTGAAATTTAAGTTTAATATGGGCAAAAGTAACATCCTTACATTATTGAGTCTTCCTTACTAATAGCAAGCATATCTTTCTATTTATTAAGGCCTTTTTTATGTCTAACTGTAGAGTTTTAAATTTTATGTATAGATGATAAATATTTCTTATTGTTTATTCCTAGGTATTTCATCTATTTTACTGCTATTATAAAGTGGCATCTTCTCTTCCATTGTATTTTCTTTATTGTTTGTAGGAGAATGATGGAAAGTAATTTTTAATGCATATATATATATTTTATCACATCAAAATCCCGTTTACATAAATTCTACACATATTTGACATAACTAAGGTTGACTGGGTTATTTGGGCAATCTAATTCGTACTCTCAGTAGCAATAATTTTCTTCCCTCAAACCATCCTTTCTCTCTGTCTCCCTCTTTCCCGTCCCCCCTTTTTTGGAGAAACGTTTATTAGAACATACTGATAGACATTGTGCTAGACACATGGGATAACTTTAACTCTTGACTGCATATCAATAATTCCACTAAGGTTTATCCCAAGATTCTCCTCCATTAATAAGCTATGTTCACTTCGTGTGTGAGAATTGACAGGCATACTTTTCCCACAGGGATCCAGTGCTCTGGGGTTAGGTTACTGTAGAAAAGAGTGAATCTTTTTTTATTACACCAAACAGAAACTCTATACCTGTTAAGCAGTAATTCCGCATTCACCTTTCCCTCCAGCTCCTGGTAACCTCTAATCTACTTTCTGTGTGTATGAATTACCCATTTTAGATATTTTGTTTAAGTGGAATCTTTATTCTTTTCTGTCTGGCTTATTTCACTTAGAATATTTTCAGCTTGTTTACTCAGCAAATGTTACATGTTGTAACATGTGTCAGAACTTCATTCCTGTTAATGGCTGAATAGTATTCCACTGTATAACACATTTTGTTTATTTATTCATCTGTTGATGAACACTTAGCTCGTTTCCACCTTTTGGCAGTTGTGAATAATGCTGCTATGAGCATCAAGATATAATTGTGTGTTGTCCTTGTTTTCAGTTCTTTTGACTATAGCTAGGAACAGAATTGCTGGGTTATATAATAAATCTTTGTTTAGCTTTCTGAGGAACTGCCAAATTATTTTCCACAATGGATACACCATTTTACATTCTCACCAGCAACGTATGAGTTCCACTTTTACTACATTCTTGTAGGCACTTAATTATTTTTAAATATAGCCAGTCCTAGTAGGTGTGAAATGATATCTTATTGCAGTTTTTATTTGCATTTGCCTAATGACTGATATTGAGCATCTTTTCATGAGCTTATTGTCACTGTGTATCTTTTTTGTAGAACTACCTGTTCAAATCTTTTGCCTATTTTTTAATTGAAGTGTTTTTCTTTAATATATTTTTAAAATGTATTTTAAAAACAGATAATCTTATTGGATTCTTCTGCTGTTTTTGGAGAGTGGTTTCAGCTGATTTTCTTAGTTTTTTACTGACATGCAGTCATATCTGAACATTTTAGTAAATTCACTTCCTTTTTTATAAATATGCCTCTTATTTTGTTCTCTTTCCAATTTGCATTTTCTAGCACTTTCAGAACACTGTTAAAAAATGATAGTGGTCATTCCTTTCACTTGGTTATAGTAATTCTCCAATAAACCTCAAATCCTGGCTTGTTACATTGGAAAGTGTTTTTAAATTTTCAAAAATTTTTGTTCAGATATACATATTAGAGTATATTGAGGGCCATTTCAGTTTACCTGGAAATAATTTTGATAATGTTTTATATACAATGTAATTCATAAATATTAAATAATTTTTTGATTTTTAGGTATTGAATCATCCTTTTATTTCAGTACTGCAGTATATTTTGTTTCTATGAGGACTGTTTTATATTATCTTCAAATATTTTTACATTGTTGTTTGTAGATGAACTTGGTCTGTGTTTCTCCTCTTTGCTTTCTTTTTAGGGGAGGTGAAAGTAGTCTTTGTATGCATTTCTCATGGCCTTCCCGCTTTACCGTTCCCACTCTGAATAGTTTTTAAAGCATTAGATATACTTGTTCCTTGAAAAAATTCACCTTAATGTCTATGAAGAGATTGTTCTTTTATGCTATTTAATGCTTTCTTTGCCTGAATACAATTTAGATTGCGTTTTCAGGTTTTGTGCTTTATGATACATTTTAAAAATTTATTTATTTAGGTTGCTCTGGCTCTTCATTGCTGCATGTGGGCTTTGTCTAGTTGTGGCAAATGAGGGCTGCTCCCTAGATGCAGTGTGTGGGCTTCTCTTTGAGGTGACTTCTCTTGTTGCAGCGCACAGACCCTACGGCAGGTTTCAGTAGTTGCAGCACAAGGATTCAGTAGTTGTGGCACACCTGCTTAGTTGCCACTTGGCACGTGGAATCTTCGTGGACCAGGGATTGAACCCATATCCCCTGCATTGGCAGGCAGATTCTTAACCACTGGACCACCAGGGAAGTCTTGCAGTGTCACTTTTTAAAATTTTATTTTATTTTATTATTATTATTTTTTGCAGTGTCACTTTTAATAGTGAAAAGCAAAAGAAGAAAACTAGGAACAACATAAACATCATCATCATCATCTTGTAGTCATAAAGAATGATGTGATGATATGAGCTTCATCAAACTCAGATTATTCTTGTTCTCAGAATGTTTCCTATAGCACTTTGTTTTTGTTTCCTTTGTACTAGCTTTTCTCATCAATGTGCCTCTTTTGGTTTTGTTGTCTTTTACTCTTTGCATTGTGTATGAACATAACAGAAAAAGAAAAACTAAATTAGATGCCTCTGTCATACCTAGTTTTCTAATTCTTAGACTCAATAGGGTTTTGATGCTGAAGCACTCAAAGTAACATTCTGATTTTTATTGTTTGTCGCATGAGAATCCAGTGTAAATCATATAATGGAGAAGTAACACTTTTAAGTAAAAAAAAAATGTTGGCTATATCCTGGTTATAATGAGATTCTCAAAGTGGAAATACCTATCATCTTTAATATCTCTATGTTTTTTATTCTTTTAAACAGTTCGTTTTCCTGAAGATCTTGAGAATGACATTAGAACTTTCTTTCCTGAGTATACCCATCAACTCTTTGGGGATGAGTAAGTAACTTAGTAAGATATTTGTCAAATTAGGGAAAACACATTTTTTTTTAAATTTAGAAATCAGTTTATTTTCTTTCCTGTTATTTTTCATGTTTCTTTTAAAATATATTAGAATGGCATGTTTTATATTGAGACACCAATCTACTATATAATACCTATCATTTAGTACTATACTATAGGTACAGTATCATATTTAATTGGCATAATCTTAGCAATGGTATCATCATATGTAACATTAACATTAGTGGGGTTGGATAGTTGCCTAGGGACATATGAATGACTGAAGTTCAGATTCAGTCAGTCAGACTGTAGAGTCCATATTCATAACTACTTATTTTGCACGATTTTGCTGTACTGCTTCTAGAAAACACTTCCCCAACACTGGAAAACTCAAGTTTTTTTTCTATGAGAAATAAATAAGCAATTGAGAGAAACTTATTTTCAGAAGCAAGTTTGAAGATATGTCCTGGGATGTTCAGCACAATTTTTAAAATTTCTAATCCCTTCATTACATTATTAGAAAATATCAACTTTCCAGTAAGTTTCAAGAATAATATTCTGTATATCCTTTACATACATCAGTTATTAACATTTAGCTATATTAGCTTTAATCATTCTCATACATATATTGATAGATTGTTGTTGAACCATTTGAGAGTAGGTTGCAGATATAAGTAGGTTGCAGGAGTAAGGAGTTCTCTTACTCCTAAACTCTTTAGTATGTATTTTCTAAAAATAAGGACAGTATTGTGGTAAAATTACCCAAACTCAGGAAATCTAACATTGATATATTTTCTAAAATATAATCCACATTTCAAACTTTGCCAATTGATTGCCAGTAATTCTTTTGTGTGTATTCAATAAATTCAGTAATTCCTCATCCTTGATCTAGTCTAGAATCATGTATTGCTTTTAGTTGTTATCTCTCTTTAGTCCCTTTAGACTGGAACAGTTCCACAGACTTTATTTTCCTTGTCATTATTTTTGTAGAGAATAGGGCTAGTTTTGTAAACCTTCATTTTGGACAAGTTTGATTGTTTCTTCATGATTAAATTCAGATAATGCATATATTTATAGTAGCGCAGCAGAAGTTGTATCTGTCCTTCTCAATGTGTCATACCAGAATGTCCGTGATGTCAGTTTGTCCCATTGTTGGTTGACTTGGGTCGTTAAGTTTAAGTTTGGAGGTATCTGCAAGGTTTCTCCATTGTAGGGTTTTTTCTTTGTTATTTATATGTAACCTGTGAGGAGATACTCTTGAGAGTGAAAATACCCTGTTTCCCATCAAACTTTCATTCAGTAGTTTTAAATCTGTTAATGATTGTTAGTATTTTACTATGATTGTAAAAGGGCGATTTTCTAACGCTGCCACACTTTCACAGTTATTAGTTTGCATTCTGCTGTAAAAGAGTGTCTCTTCTTCCCGTTATGTATTTTTGTTTATATCAGAATAGACTCAGGATTTTTTAACTTAGTGAATCATTGTCTGTTACTGTTTTTAATGTTGATGCTCAGATTATCCCAGATTCAACAAGTGGCTCCTCTTCCAAACTGGCTTTTTGAGTCCTTTTGATATATCATCATCATTTTGAGGACAGTTTACTTTGTGATACAATCAACTGTTGCACATTCACCTTGTAGTTTACTAGTTCTGCAAAACAAATTGGCCATATCCTCAAGGAACCATGGGTTTTTTTCCTTAGTAGGAAAGGGTGTTTAGACATAGTTGACATTTAAAATATTCTTCTATATTACCCTTTTCCCTATGCATTATTTCAGCATTTTGGACATTTATTTAATATATTTTTAAATTGACAAATGTCTCTTCATGGAACAAGTTTCTTAAGAATTTCTTGTGAATATATCAGATTAGCTATTTTATGTACTTTTAAGTATTAATAACTGCCAAAATTTGAGCATATTTTAAACAGGTTTTATTACAGCATAAAAATAAGAATGCTTTCTTTTGGATCTCTATCTTTAAGGAGTGTTTTGTCTTGCTCTGTTCCTCTTACTGCTACTTGAAATCTCTTCCTAAGGTAATATCTTAGTGAGTAGGATCTAGTTTCACAAGTACTGCTTCTTAGTGGCATTTTGCACACTCACTTTGCACATCATTAAAAGTGGTGTGCTTGCACACCCCTCTAAGGTAGATGGAAGAGAGTCACATAATCATGATAACTCTGTATCTTGGGAACCATTACACTGATCTTAATCCTAGTTTCATTGCCACTGTTTTCTACTACACATAATTTTCAGAGTCCTGGAATGGACACTTCTTGTATTTTGTTTTGGTAACCTAGACAGAAATCTGGAAATGACACTGCTTCTTTCTAGCATTCTTTCAGAATTCATCTTTTAAAAAACCCCTTTATCATACAATAAACTTTTTAAAGTGTACAATTCCCTGGGTTTTAGCATATTGAAAGTTGCATAATCATCACCACAACCAGTTTTGAAACATTTTCGTCATTTCCACCAAAATTCCCATTGTGACCAGTTAGCAGTGGCTCCCTGTTTCCCATACCCTCCCTAGCCCTGGATAGTCACTAATCTATTTTCTGTTTTCATAGATTTACCTATTCTGGATTTTCTGGGGGGGCTATGCCATGTACTTGGTGGAATATTTGTTCCCGACACAGGGATTGAACCTGGGTCATGTCAGTGAAGGTGCTGAGTCTTAACCACTGGACCACCAGGGAACTTGCCTGGCTATTTTAGAATTCTCTTTTAGGAAGACTTTTTTTTTTTTTTTTTTTAAGGAAATAGAAAGGCATAGATGGATAGCAGGGAGCAAGGTTGGGAAAATAGCAGGAGCTCCCCATGTGCTTTCTGAGTTGGTAAGTGTGGTGTAATCAGGTGCTACCACTTACCACTTTCAGCAGCTCTGGATGTTGATGTTGGACATGCAAGGGGTAAGTTGGAGGAACTGGGCTCTATAGCTCCATCTTAACTGCTTGCCTAACTAGGAATCAGTATAACATTACTTGTCTCTGATATGAAATACCTCATAATAGTAGCAAGAGTAAAAGCAGCAACAGTAGCTGTAGTACACTTATACAATGTACCAGTGAATGTTATGAACAATTTACATGTATTGACTTGTTTATATAACCCATATAACCTCCCTAAGGTAGGTGTTGTTATTCTGTTACTTTATAAACTCAGACAGCTGAGGCACAGTTTCATTACAGTATGGTTTTTTTTGTTGTTGTTTTTAGTAAGTATAGTTTAAAATTTTGAAACTACCCATGAAGTTAAACCTGTTTCTGTGTAGAGTTAATACTTTGTAATGACTTTGTTCATTTTTGGGTCTTAGATTACTGCTTTTTTTCCCTTTTCAGTGAAACTGCTTTTGGTTACAAGGGTCTGAAGATCTTGTTATATTATATTGCTGGTAGCCTATCAACAATGTTCCGTGTTGAATATGCATCTAAAGTTGATGAGAACTTTGACTGTGTAGAGGTAAGAACAGAAATAAGTTTATTTTTAACTGTTTCCTAATTGAGTATAAAACAGATTATAAAATGTTAAAGATTTGAGGGAGGAGAGAATCTTTATATTACAGCTTTAAAACCACATATTTAACATTTAATTATGGAGGTGACTATCTGCCTGTCATTCCAGTTAAACCTGTGATCGTGATCCTTAGCCTTTTCCATAAAAATCTTCACTTTTTTGATCAGAGATTTATTTTATTTACCAACTTTAGGTTTTTTATTAGCTTCTGTTGTTTTAAGCATACATTCATGTGAAAAGGAGAACTTGTAAGAAATGAACTTGGTTATTGAGCTGAGGAGTTTTACGAACAAAGTATTGAAGCTGTGGCCTGCTTTCTTGCCACTTAAAGTATTAGAAGAAAGAGAGAAATTGAGGGAAGAACTGTTAAGTAAAAAAGATCTGGGACTTGATTTGGGAGATTCAGCCTGTTCTGAAGACACTGAATTTAGAAAATTCATTGGTGGGGAAGTGTGCTCTGGGGAGAAAACCAATAGTAATCTTGGCTAAATAATCTTGTTTTGCTGAATAGGCAGGCGTGACTCATTGATCTCTTCAGTAATCTCAACAAAGCCAAAAATAGGGATTGAATTCTGTGATATGATTTCAGGGAGCACCTGTGGAGGACCCTCTTGTCTATTGGCATGAACTTTCATGGCATACACACATGACCCATAAAGTTTCCAGAGTGTTATATCAGCAGAAATACAGCCAGTTTGGACTGATAGAATACGGGAAGGCTAATGGACTTCTAACATCCAATAGGCAAGAAAGAGGTTGATAACACTATTCAGCTGCAAACATGTGCTACCTTTCAAGAAAAAGGATGAATGATTTTGAAGGAGGAGCTTCGGGCTCAGAGGGTAGTGTCATAGACCACAGTATTCCTAAGTGATGAAATTTGAGGCTCTCCAGGTGGCTAAGCAGTAAAGAGTCCACCTGCCAATGTAGGAGACGTGGGTTTGATCCCTGGGTCGGGAAGATCCCCTGGAGAAAGGAATGGCAACCCACTCCAGTATTCTTGCCTGGGAAATCCCATGGACAGAAGAGCCTGGCAGACTACAGTCCATGGGGTTGCAAAGAATCGGACATGACTTAAGAGACTATACAACAAGAATGGAATATGACCTACTGGGTTTTGAAATCATTTGGTGACTTATTTCTTCTACCATTTTCTCCCTTTTGGAATGACAAAGTCTGTAACTTTTATCCTATGCTTGTCCTGCCTTTGTTCTTTGGAAATGATAACTTGTTTTCTAGTTTCACAGGTGGGAAGGAAATCTGCCCCGTGAGGTAGCATACCCATAGTCTCACCTGTACCTTATTTGGATAAGATAGATGATGAGATTTTAGATTTCAGTTAATGTTGGAATGGTTGAAACTTTGATGGATGTTGGGGAGGGGGTGTCTTTGGCATGTTTGGATGGACATGAATCTAAGGGACCTTTAAAAAATTGTATATTTTAGAGTTCTGTTCCTAGAGATTCCTATTTAAAGATACTGAAGCAAACATTTTCAAAATTTTAACTAAGTTTAAATTCCTGACGTAAGTCTTTTCCCAGCCTCATGCTCCACTCTTTTATTGTTAAAACCTTCTCTCATTACAGGGATTGGTTGATTTTCCCCCTTTTTATTATTTTTTTGTTTGTTTCATTTTATTGTAGGGGACTTGTCCAAAGTCACACAACTAGTAAATAATCTGTATTGCACATGGGCGAGAATCACTTAATTGTAGTATGCATAATATATAGTAATATCCTCCTCAAAGATATTAGAACTATTTATGATCTGTTCTAAATGGGCCTGGGCTTTTGTGCTTGTTAGGTTTTATTTCTGTTTTGCACAGTGTGTATTTTATTTATTTTTTCCTGCTCCCATACTTTTATGCTATTAGCTCTCAGTTTACTGCTAGAGAGACTTCTCTCTTGCAAGCAGTCCTCTTATGGGTAAAAATTTTGTATTAGTAAGCTTAAAGGAATGGAAGTGTGAATGATATATAGCATAAAAGAAATCTGAAATAGTCTCTTATTTCCATTATTCAACTTCAGTGTCAGAAATATTCTCAGCACTAACTTTTTTTGATTCTCATTTGCCAGCCCTATTTGAGATGACTAAGCTTGTTAGATAAATATATGTAACTTTCATTTAATATTTGTTTTTTACAGTGGTTTGTGTCCCTTGGATGTTTTTGAAAATTTGCAGATATAAAAATGACTCATTGACTAATACTGTAGTTGTGATGATTTGATACTTGAAAAGATTTAATCTTAGATAAACTAGCATGTAACAGAGTTTACTAAAATGGATAATATTTATAATCAAATATTTGTTAAATTTTCAAGCCCAGATACTCTTTAAAAATTTTATTTTTTTTTCCTTTGTGTTGTATAAAATTCAGTGTTGTTTGAGGGGGTTGCTGGTTTTTTGTGTTTTTTTTAAAGTTCTAGCTGGTAGTGCTGAGTGATTTCTTCTGAAGGAACTATTAGTTATTGATAAATCATTCAAATATTATGTGCAGTGAAAATAGCTGTGTATTTGCATTGACTTCTAATTGTTCCATTCTTGAAAACGAGGTTTCTCCATTTAGAAGTACTGTGTTAGGAGTAAGGAATCAGTCTTTTATAATGTCTTTTTGTAGGATTATTTATTTGCTTCATTGTCAGAGATCATTTATTTAAATTACATGTTCAAGCAGAGACCTCTTTTTCCCCTTATAAAAAAAGAACGGGGCAGCAGATGTGTGGGGAACGGGCTTGGCTCTTCCCCATTTGCATTGAGAATTCGTTTCACAGGGTTATAATGGCAAATAAAGCAAAGTCACTGTTCTTATGACACGTTCTTGCCAAGAGGAGCAGTCAACAAATAGATATTAAATAAGCAAATTAATATGTATGAAGAAACGTTTTGCTGGTTTCTGAATGAAGAGTAGCCAGTCGTGTAGTTATCTGAAGGGATCAGCCTATGCAGAGTCCCTGAAATGAGAACATTCTTGGCATTTTCGTTGTCCAGAAAGATCACTGTTGTTAAATTGTGATGATGAGAGAAGGGTAGGAGAGAGTTGAAGAGGGTTGGCAAGACTCAGTTGTATGGAATCAGAGTAGCTGAAGCCCTTGGAAAGTTTTAAGTGGGGGGGGGGCGGGGGGTTATGTGATAGTGTTTATATTGTTGAAAGATGATTCTGCCTGCTGTGCAGAGAACCCACTGTAGAGAGCAAGAGAGAAGAGAGACCAGAACAGTGCAGTGTCATGGGCAGCACTGCATTCACCTGCTTGAGGATACTTCTTTGGTTGGTGTTCAGTCTCTGTGCCTGACTCTTTGTGACCCCCATGGATGCAGCACTCCAGGCTCCTCTGTCCTTCACTGTCTCCAGGAGTTTGCTCAGATTCATGTCCATTGAGTCGGTGATGCTGTCTAACCATCTCATCCTCTGCTGCCCCTTTCCTCTTTTGCCTTCAATCTTCCCCAGCATCAGCATTCTTTCCAGTGAGTCACCTCTTCAGAGGTAGAGTCAGTAGCATCTGTTACTGAGTTAAATGTGATTGATGAGGGAAAGAGGAATGAGGAGGATGCCACTGCTTCAGTGGTAGTGGTACTATTCCCTGAGATCGGGAAGATTGGAGAAGTAGATTTAAGTGGAAAACACACAAGATTTTTGTTTTTAGGTATATAAGGTTTGAGACCATTATATAATATGTCATAGTTTATGCATACTATGCTTTGTAGTATTATTTTTGCATGTGAGAAATATACCCTTTGAGATGGTCAGAAACAAGAGCACATCTGCTTAGAAGTTATTTGCATTAAAATTTTTCCATTATATTAATCTTTCTTTTTTATTTTTTTATATTAATCTTTCATCATCCATTCTTTTTCTTTTGCAAACTCTCCAGCAGCATCTAAATTTTTTAGTCACAATTAAGATGTTTGTAAAACATCTCCATAGCTATCATCTTTAAAGATAATGTAATTATTTTGAATTTTGCAATATAATAAACTTGATTATTCAGACACCGATGGTTTGTTCATCTAATGGTTTTGCTTTTATCAGTACCTCCAGCCCTCTCTTAAGGTAATTTAATTGATTTTTAGTTGAAGAATGTGTAACAAAGATTGTTCAGTCTTGCTGATTGCTGACATTTTAGGGAAGGGTTTGTTGGAGAAAGTTGAAATACTTGGATAAAGTTTGTATTATCTGTGAGTTTCAGTCATCTATTTTATCCTTGTCTCTCTTTAATTTGGATTTCAATTTGAGAGTAGATAAGAGCGAATCTCTTTAATCTTCTGGATTCCTTGGGGCTTTTTAAATAGAAAAATCCTGTGTATGTATAAAAATTTAATCTTAAGAAAGTGAAAAAAATACTTTGGTAGACTAATAATACTTCCTAGTGTATTCCACTGCATTCCTTTTTTAATAATGGTGACAGTATTCTTTTTTTTTTTTCCATTTATTTTTATTAGTTGGAGGCTAATTACTTTACATCATTGCAGTGGTTTTTGTCATACATTGAAATGAATTAGCCATGGATTTACATGTATTCCCCATCCCGGTCCCCCCT